TTTACTAATTATTATAAATGTATAATATCTATTCATAAAAAAAGATATGAAACATTTTTCACGTTATTAACCGCGCATTTGCTTTAAAAACAACTTTCATGAATTTATATAATTAACTGAGAATTGTATTTTACTTAATTATCATTTACCTAATTATATATCTAAACAATAGTAATAATACTTAAAATGTAGGGGAAAATGGCCTAAATTGGACCATATTCCAAATAGGACCTTTTTAAATGAATACGGTTAAGCAGATTTGTGTGCTATTTATAATGTAAAGTCCTTACAAAACATCGAACATGTTTGACAATTCTCTGCCATAAACATTCATAGAATAGACGCAAATATATATTTTCAGCCATTGTGCAAAAATTTTTTTTAAAAAGAAAATCCTTGTAAATCATTATTTAAAAGATGTTAAAAATTTGAAAGATAACTGATTTAAGATAATTAAAAAGTGTAGAATTTAAAAATATCAAGCGTTTTGTGATCACTTTTGCGGTTTATTATAAAATTTGTTCCAAAGTTCGAAAGGATCCGTGTCCAAATCGGATCTCTTTTTGGGTGTTCAAATCGGACCTACAGTACAGTAAATAACTTATAGTTGTAGTACTGGTGATCGGCCGATCAGATCTGATCCAAGAAATTAAATCGGTAAAATATCATGAGTCATCACACTCAAATTAATTAAGTTTTATTGATTTCAATTCTAATCAAATATAAACTGTCAATAATTTTTTTTCTGAATAAAATTTTTATCTTCGACTGTCAAATTGCTCGTTTTTACTCAATACTAACAAAAATACGTTAAAATATTTTAAAATTTTATCTAAAAGTCCATAAAAATAAGAGTGTCCAATTTGGACCAGGGGATGATCCGATTTGGAATCAATAGTTCGAAATCGGACCGAAAAAAGTGTTTTTACATTTTTCATTATAATCCAACACAGGTGAGAAATACGTCATTATATATATATATATATAGATCCGATTTACTCCACTCTCCCTTATATTTTAAAAACTATATAATAAAACTTTTGTAATAATACTTAAAATGCGTATATCTTAAAAACTGTACTATTTTTTTAAATATTCTTTTTTATCAAATATAAAAATAACGTTATTGAAAGACAAATCCGTGGCAAAATTTCGAAACGATATAATCAAGAACATTCTATTTATATATTTTTATTTAACAATTAACACTAATTATATACATATATTGTGTTATGTTACATTTGTATTATTGAATGGAAAATATGTCGGCTGTTAGTTTGTATTCTGCGGGATACTGTTGTCTTATGTTATTACAAATTTAATAATTATAATAAAGTTATATTTTGTTATTATAAAATCCTTTGATATCTGTATATTGTAAATATTTATTGGTTTCAGAAAATATTTAAAAAATGAGGATATTTTACATAATGTATAAAAATTGCAGAACGTGCAAGAAATATATACACTATAAAGAAATCGATAACTTTTTTACTTCTATTTTATGTATTAAAATAAAAAAAAACACATTATTTATAATTAAACGTAGCAATTTTTTGATTATAAAAAATATGTTTATGCGAACATATTTATGTATTTATATTTTACAGTTTGCTATTATATATATTATGTAATGGAAATTTTACTACAAACCGTAATATTGTAACTAATACGTATCGGACATAATAGCATAAAAATAGTAGGTAAATACTAAAATTATTATATGTACTATTTAGAGTAGCATAGAAAGATTATTCTAGACATACACCGGATCGTAAAATTACCGGATATCGAGAATCGAATATCCGGTAGAGCAATAATTATCCGGATATTTTTCGAATATCTGGTACAAATTTCCCAAAATTCGAAAAAAAAGGAAAGATAAGGCAAAAATAGCGGTAATAATTTTTCTTTATCTTCCCAACGTGTGAAAAGGAAAAGAAGAAAGATGAGGTGTGCAGTTCAGCTGAAAAAAATAGAGTTTTGCATCAATGACGCAAACTTGTTTTTTTATGTCTTCAATTTAGAAATTGTTTCTATAGCCACACATTAATGTACATACTTAAAGAAATCTAATAATCTTCTGATTAAATTCACATATAGATCCGTGGCAAGTCGATACTGCAAAATAATAGCAGATGATAAACCCTCGATCGAGAATAATTGAAGTAATCTTAACATGACTGATCGTCGGTAACATTGCGATGACGCTATAAAATCAGGGATGGGAAGTAACTCGTTACTTGTAACGAAGTTACAGTTAGAGTTACTTTTTTTCAGTAACTGTAACTTAACTTCGTTACTTTCTTTCCATCTGTAATTATAACTTAACTTAGTTACATCTTTTAAGTAACTAAACTAATTTAATAATTACTTTCATAGTTATTTTATATATTTTAAACTTATTTGTCAATTTAGTGTACGGTAGTGTCCACTTGGCATTACAAATATTTCGAAACATTTAATTAATCAGAAGAAAGAAATTTAATTAAAGCGTTCAATAAACTCTTGTACCTGTTTGGTCTATATTTTTGAATCTAATGGAATCCGCCAATCAAATACAAGAGCGCTCAGTGAATGGTTGTAAACCATTTTGGATTAGTGCTGGAATTTATTTGCAACTTTTAGCCGAATGTAAAAAGAATTTTTTTACAAAAAACATTGTATATGTTTCATATTCATATTCATATGTGTTTATATTACTTAAACAAAAAACGTCTTTGCCATACAATTTTTTTATCTTTTTGAATAAAATTGTATGACATGTAAATGTAATCCAGTCTTTTTTTTTTTAATTGTCCTAGGCTGCATTACTCTGATAACCCTGTGTATCATCCTTGTTTAATATTAGGTGAAAAACAAGGATAAAACGATACATGAAGGCAGTTGGATAACGTTTCTGAATACAGTCCTAATGGAATCAATACTACTAGTAAAAATTCCGATAAAAAAAGTAATTTAAAGTTACTTTTTCAGTAATTGTAACTGTAACGAATTACTTTTCAGAGTCAATAACTTGTAACGATAATTAATTACTTTTTGAAAGAGAAAAACTGTAACTGTAATTAATTACTTTTACAAAGTAACTTTCCCATCCCTGTATAAAACGATTCGAGACATAAGAGAAGAGAATCAAGAGAAAGGAGCAGATTCATCGGAAGCCGTCATTTTCAGCTCATTGTTTGATAATGGGCAGGATATTCAACTTCTTTCAAATATAAGTTAATATTTAATATTTAATATTTGCAGACAAAAGCATATGTACGCGAGTATTAAATGTACCAACAAGGAACATATCCATACTGCATGTCAAAGATAACTCTGCAGAAAGAGCATTTAGTAATCTTATACTTGTCTAATTACAGGAATGTCTAATACTCTTGTGTAGAACCTTTCGCTACTAGATGCGCTTTATATTTAATAATATCTCCAATTGAGAGAGTTTTTTTAATTCGGAAAACCCATTTATTCTTCATTATCGTTTTACTTGCTGGAGGATCCACTAAAGTCCACACTTTATTCTTTTACATAGATTACAATTCTACTTCCATATCCTCTCTCCACTGAGAGTCTATGGAACACTGTCTTTCTCATCAAGCTTCATAGCTTGGTCAAGAGTTTTAGGATCATTCGGTTCACACATGGTATAATGAAGCAAGTAGTCAAAGAAACCTTTCGCTTTTCTATTTCTTTTTGGAAATAGAACCTATTCTCTTTTTCTTCTTTATCTTCATTAACTTGATGAATAGCTCTTTTCTTGTGTCTCTGTTTTTAATTCTATTTCTTCCTCTGCTTCTACTGCCATTTCTTTCTTATCTTCTTTCTTCTGCTGCTTCTTTTGCTCTACTTCTTCTTTCTCTTCTACTTTTTCCTCACATTCACGTATTTCATCTAGTTCTACAGCTTCAACCTTTGAAATATTTCCTATCTCTTCTTCTGTCAAATAACTTGATTTGAGAAATACTTGTATCAATATTTTATTGCTTCAGTCTTATCAACAGAAAATTTATTTTCTAGAAACATTACATCTCTTGCTCTAATAATATTTATTTTTGTCGTTCAAATTAAACAGTCTATAATCTTTGGCTTTTTCGCAATAACCAACGAATATAAGCGGCTTACCTTTAGCATACCATTTTTTCTGAGATTTTTTTGGAATGTGAACATAGGTAATACAACCAGACTTTGAGGTGACTTAAATCGACTTTCTTACCTGTCCCTAAACTTCTTCTGATGTCGCTCCTCTTACGGATTATAGGACCTTTATTAAAGATAATCAAGGATCTCTAGGCTTTATGAAAAGACCGATTCTTTAAATTACCGCTTCTAACCACATTCGTTGATTGGCACTAGCGTCTTGTATCGTGCGTCTGGCTTTTTCTACAATAGTGCAATTTGTACTTTCAGCTACTGATCAAAATCAACTTTTTTCTTATCTGTTACTTATTAAGAAGAAACACTTTTGATGTTTTGCATACGAGAACTGTTTTCAAAATCAACAATCGCGAGTTGAAAATTCGAATTTACAATATCGATTCAAATAAAATTAATTAGTCAAGTTCAGCAAAAGTCAGTGATTCATACAATTAGTGAACGTCTTGCTATTGGATTATGTAATACTTTTAGATCTAGAAGAATATTCCTATCTTTCTCTCTCTCAGGAGAAAACTTTCAACAGTTGTAAAATAAATATTTTATTAAAGACCATTAAGACTTGAAATTGAAGATAAAAATATTATTCTCAATATCTCGAAATCATCAATGTACCACAAATTGTTAATTTGTTTTAAAATAAAAGCCAAAATATTTTAGGTGTTCTTGTTTCGTTAATAACGCAAGTATTTCATGGGAAATGTATTTTGTAATTTGCAATGAGATGATTTTGGAATTTAGAAATACTCGGCATAATTAAGTGAAAAGATTGCATAAGTATTTTTTTATTACAATACCTAAAAATTAAAACAATATTTACATTTGTACACGATTCGATATACATCATATACGAAAAATTACGTCACATCGGGTCGTAAGTACTTGAATCAATGCCCTACAAGTTCTAAATGTCTAATTGCATCGCAGGAAATGCTATAATTGATTCAGAGAATTATTAAATTAAAACATATCATGTAATTTCGATTTTGTAATAACTCTTCCTCTATCGATTGTCGATTTAAATAGAAGATTTTAGGTAATATATATATTATTTCAGAACTGTCCAAAACACTAGGCACTTGCGAATGCTCGCTCGCTCGGTTAAGAAACAATTCTGAAATTTATTGGCAAAAAAAATAGACATTACACTTCTTTAATGTTTTAAATAAATAATAGGCGATATATCCTGTCACAATAGTTGCTACATCACTCGCCAGTCAAAGATATATGCTTCGCTGCTCGTTTAATTTAATTTAATTCAAGATGCTTTTTGACGTAATAAAACTATACTATTGTACAACTTAATGGCAGGGCCGAGTCGCAAACGTAGTACCGATACCAAATCCTCTTGAGTCAACATTAAAAATGACTCACCATCGATATTCTGCAATAACACAAATAGCAGTATAACAATATGCTGTTATTATTTAAACTAATTATTTATATTATTGTACTTTCTTTTAAACTTACGTTCTGTCTAAAAATATTCCCAGCTTCTGCACAGTTAGGCATGCTTTGCACAAATTTAATCACTTCTTCATTAGACCATCGTCGTGGATTCGTGGTTTGTTTTGATACTACTCTGTTTAAGGCATTGCTATGTTTCGCCCATATATGCGGTGCATTCGGCAAAGGATTATATCCAGGATTATATACAGATTGATATAATTCTTTACGCAATTGTTTAACTGGTATGTCTGCAGCATATGAAGCATTTGCAGCATTTGCAGCATTCATAGTATTCACAACATTCGCAACATTCGCAACATTCCAAGTTTGCACATCACCATTTATAATATTGGAAACGGAAAACGAAGTTTCCTCCGAATTTTGATGTCTAAAAATATATTAATATGTATATTAAAAGTGTACTGAATTTTAATATTACATGAATATATAACATTTAGAAGTTCTTTACGTCTTGAATAACAAACCTTTTTTTTCGCTTTTTCGAAACTTCATCATCATCCGTTTGTCCGTCGCCGTGCAGATGTTTTAACTTGTTGGATCTGAAACAACAAAATGATATAAATAAAAGTAACAATTGTCACAACTATGCTATGTGTGTGCGTGTGTGTAGAGGGGAGGGGGAGGGGTGGGAGGAGAGAGGGGAGGGTAGGGG